TTCAGTTTTGGAATTTATGTATTTAAATGTTTCAATTTTTGGCGTTTCTAAATTTTTGGATTTTTCGATTTCTCTGTTTAAGTTACGGGATTTTTCAATTTTGGGATTTTTTAAGATTCCGATTTCCAAATTTTTAGATTTTTCGACTTTTTTGATTTTTTACTTATTTGATTTTTCAAAATTTTGCGAGTTTCTAAATCTTACATTTTTCAACATTTTCATCTATTGGATATTTTAATTTTTGGATTTTAGAATTTTTTAGATTTTTAAAATTCTTTATTTTTCAATTTTTCGATTTTGACAATATTTTAATTTCTCCTTCAAAAATGAAACATCACATATTTAAAAAAAAAAGACGCTAGGAACCCCTAGGATACTGTAAAATTCTTTCCAAATAAAGAACTCCATAGATCCCGGAAATTTTTTTAATTTTCCATTTTTCGAATTTTTAAATTTTAGGTTTTTCACTTTTTTGTCATTTCGATTTCTCAATGTTTCGATTTTTGCCGTCCCATTTTTAGATTTTTCGATATTTCAATTTTTCAGAATTAATTTTTCCGTTTTTCAATATTCCGATGTTTCAATTTTCATTTAACGGTTTTCTTTAGATTTTTCACCTTCTTGTTTTTGGATTCTCCGGTTTTTCAATTTTTCGGAATTAATTTTTCTGTTTTTCGAAGTTTTGATTTTTCACTCTTTGGTTTCTCGGTTCTTTTAAGTTAAAATTTTTCAATTTTGAATGTTTCCATTTTTTGATTTTTCGATTTCGATTTTTCGATTTCTCAGTTTTTTGGTAATTCATTTTTCGATTTTTCGATTTTCCAAATTTCAACGTTTCAGTTTTGGGATTTATGTATTTAAATTATTCGATTGTTCAATTTTTCAATTTTTGTCGTTTCTAAATTTTTGGATTTTTCGATTTCTCAATTTCTCGATTAATGGATTTTTTAATTTTTCGACTTTTCGATTTTTCGTCTTTCCGATTTCTCGATTTCTCAATTCTTCAATTATCAAATTTTCAATGTTTAAGTTTTGGAATTTTTCAATATGTACATCGATTTTTAAATTTTTAGATTTTCGACTTTGTTTTTTTTTACTTATTCGATTTTTCAAAATATTGCGACTTCCGATTTGTTAATGTTTTGATTTCTCGATTTTGTAAACTTTCAATTTTTCGAATTTTTAAATTTTGGATTTTCCACTTTTTTGTTGTTTCGATTTTTTGCCTTCTCATTATTTTTGGATTTTTTGATTTTTCTTTTCCAGCTTTTCGATATTTCGATTTTCATTTTTTCGATTTATCGGGTTAACTTTAAATCTTACAATTTTGAATATTCCCATTTTTCGATCCTTGGCCATTTCGATATCTCAATTTTTCGATTTTTCGATTTCTCGACTTATCGATCTTTTGATGCTTCGATTTCGCGTTTTTTCAATTTTTCGATTTCGCTTTCTGGATTTCTCAGTTTTTCGATTATTCGTCTTTTCGATTATTTGAGTTTCCAATTTTTTGATGTTTCAGTTTTTCAATTTTTGGCGTTTCTAAATTTTTGGTTTTTGCGATTTCTCAATTTCTCGATTAATCGATTTTTTAATTTTCAGATTTTTGGATTTCTCAATTTTTCGATGTCTCTGTTTAACTTTTGGGATTTTTCAAGAATTTGATTATTGAATTTTTAGATTTTTCGACTTTATTTTTTTGATTTTGTATTTACTCGATTATGCAAAATTTTGCGAATTTTTAAATCTTACATTTTTCAACATATTCATCTATTCGATATTTTGATTTTTAGATTTTTAAAATTCTTGATTTTTCAATTTTTCGGTTTTGACAATATTTTGATTTCTTTCTCCTTCAAAAATAAAACATCACATATTTAAAAAAGAAAGACGCCAGGAACCCCAAGATTCTCTAAAATTCTTTCCAAACAAAGAGCTCCACAGATCCTCGAGATTTTTAAAAGTATTAAAAAAAAAACACAAGAGGCCCCGAAGATTTTTTTATATTAGAAAAAAGCACTAGGCGCCTGCAAAACTTTCTCTTTTAAACGCAAAAAATTGGTTTAAAGTTATTTACACAGATCTTCCCTCGCCTCTGAAGTAAAACGAATATATTTACAGTACATGCTTAACTTCAATTGTTTATGTGTATACATCGAACAGCAAATTGTCTCCTCAAAACAGAGAAAGCGACTAAAACTATTAATTAAACTACAGTATACCAAAACGTTCTAAATATTATTTTGGGTAAGTCGATGTTATTATGACAATTGAACAACTGAAAAATTAATTCCGAAAAATTGAAACATCGAAAAATCTAAAAACGAGAGGGCAAAAAATCGGAAAATTGAGAAATCGTACGTTAAGAAAATGGCAAAATTAAAAAGCCAATAAAGAAGATAATTGGGAAAAATTAAGCAAATTAAAAAAAATGAAAAAATAAAAAGGAAATAAGAAAAGAAGGAACCAAGTAAGCTAATAAGTTATATCAATAGAAAAAAATCTAAAAAATATCAAAAGAGAAATTAATAGACGAAATAGAAAAAGAGAAACCAAAACAAGATAATAACAGAAATATGGAAAAGCGAAGAGAATGAAAGGAAAAAAATTGAAAAGATGTTGACAAAACATTAAAAAATAAGACGAAAATGAGATAAAATATACAGGTGTCCCTGATACAAGTCCGCGGCCTAATATCTTGAAAACGGATAGATGTTGAAATTATGTAAACGCCATTGTTCGTATCAGAACAGAATAAGCAATCAAGGCGGATCATACACCCAGGTACGTTATAGAAAAACAAATTACAGACGAATACCGAACAAAATTTACAAGAAATGAAATTTAGAGGGCAACCGGTTGAAAGATATAGAAATAAAGGAAGAGATAAATATATGGATTTATGCTTCTTGTACCATGGATTTATGTACGTATTATATATAAAAAAAAGAATTGAGAAGAACACTAGGTCAGGTAGAATTTATAAAAAAAAACACTAAGTAAAAAAACACTAAAATCAACATAAAAAAAAAACTGGAATAAAAACAAATGGGAAATAGAAAAAGCAAGCAAAAATTTTTATATTCCTTGTGTACCCCCTGTAAGTTTTTTCGAACTTATAAATGCTGGATATTTGTTCTTGTTTCAATAACTTTTCCATTAATTTTTATATACGCATACAAAGAAAAAATAATAATTACACGATAGGGAATAATTGTTATTAGGCAATATTTTGTTTATTAATAGAGATATCCACAAGCCGTAAAAGCAGAATTTAATGATAAGTTGAATATTATAACATAATGTCCATCGGGTTATATCAATACTATATTATAACACTTTCACCTCCATTATCGTAAATTCTTCAAAGTGTTATTAAACTTGGTCTTAACGGCATATCAACATTTCCACCAATAACTAGCAATTGGTTGTTAAATAAAATCTAGGACAGCGATCGATACATAAAATCTGTATTTTCCTATAAAAAAAGCTAGAACAGACAGCAAAATTTTTCCAATAAGAAAACCCAGAAACTGAAGTGCATTTTTGTAAATGGGGCAAAGTCATTTAAAGCTGTGAATTTCGAAAGCTGCAGATGACTCAAACAGTAAAAAATATAGTTAAAACCGACTCCAGTGACACACTTCTATAACAATTTTACGACGCGTCAATATAAAATTTGACTTCCGCTTCCAAAATTTAAAGAAACCGGCCGTAATTTTATCGTAAATGCGAGCGATGCTCGAGAAGAAGATTAATTATAATTGCATAAATGTGAGTAGAAAAAATGACATTAAAGTTAACAGCAGACTCAACAACTTATTAAGGTAATTACGAATACTTTAAAAAGGAAGGTTACGACCACTTACTACTCGTAATAGTGGCAATAAAAATTAAAAAATAATAAAAATACGTGAAAGTCTGAAAATCGGGAATCAGAATCGAAGGAAGACCGTAAAAGATAAGTCCGAGCTCGAAACAAAAGGAAGGAAATCGGACTCGTAAAAATAATGGGATCTAAACAAGTCTGAACTCATTTAGCAATCGATATTTAAATAGTGTGACCCTGCGAGGCGAGCATTTTTCAAACCCACGAAACAAATTAAAAAAATGTAGTCTTGAACTTGGCAAAGTTTTCGATGACATGACGTTATCCGAATAATTAGATCCAGGAAGAAATAAAAGCGATCTAAAAAAAAACGCGAAGATTAAAGTTTAACCTCAATTCCATTGATGGAAACATAAAAAATAAAATAAAATTTCGCAAGAGCATAAACATGTCAATTTTCTTATTGTAAAATCGACATTTCATCGGCGATAATTGAAAAATGGGAAAATGTACACAAGTGTATTTCTGCACAGCTTGCAATCGTAGTAAATTCAACACCCATTGTACATACAACTAAATTTCCTGTTTTAACACTCGTCCATTGACCTAATAATAATAAAATTATGAAACATTCGCGAATTAAAATAGCAGCGTAAACGAGGCCGTATTTAAATCGCTTTTTGTCGGACGCGCTTCCGGACGCATTAAGGCCCAAACGGCCAAAGCAGAACCGGATCCGGAAATTTTGCCGCCTCTGCGCTTTGTATACACAACTCGGAAATCAGTTTCCCAATTTTTCTAATATATCGCACGAATTTTGAACATTGTAGATTTTTTTAAGAAGAATTTCCGGCTGTGGCTGTTTACCATTTTATGTCAAAAAAAAAAAAAATGTGATTATCACACTAGTTAGTTTTTGTCTATGGTTCATCAAAAAGGGACGGGACGCTGTAAGTGTCAATTCCGCGTGTGGAAACCCAGGGGCGATCCGCCCATGTGCCATTATCTCTGGGTTCTTTTGGAAATGCGAGCCCAACCCTGACCTTTGCGGCTCGAAAATCGCGTTCCGATCGAGTAGGTATGAATGAATGGCTGTTTATGAATGAACGTACACACAATGCACACAACAAACACGTTGGGGGTTCCGCGGGGGTGCTGGGGCTGGACTTACCCGGTCCGGTCCTGCGTGAAATCCGGGTATATACAGGGTGGCAGCTCCGGCCTCGGCACACGGATCGCGCGATCGCTTTTTGTTTGGCGCTGGCGTGCAGCACTTTCGCAACGAACGCTCGACGAAGACTGCGACCGTGTTAGTGGACGTTTGTACTAGACTAGTGGACGAGACTGATTTCTCCCACGGAGCGCTCGCTCTTCGGAGGCGGACGCTTTATATGTGGAACGATGGGGAAAAGTCGGCTTCGAGGAAGGGAGAAGGGTCGAGAAGGGGTGGCTTTGGGGGACGGGGTGGAGAGCCGAAATTTAGCTTCGGCGGTTTAAAAAAAAAATTGTCTGAAGTTGTGTACACAGAATCTCAAGCGCATCTGAAGTAAAATCGAAGATAGAGTTTGTTAGATAAATTACAAAATTTTATTTTCCGAATTTGACTGAGAGTGTTGATAAAGTTCCGTACAAAATGCATAATTCCTTTAAACAGGTTAATTTTATTTTTTCAAATTACCCTTTTTGACGTAAAAATTTATACATTTTAAAATATGTAGTCAAAAGACTTTGACTAACCCAGGTCTTGATATGAGAATCGGAATTTCAAAAATAAACTGTTGTTATAAAATCTAAGAAGGAATCAATCAGAATATGTAAAAATATACGATGAGCCATACAACTTTAGTCTTTCCTGTTTTCTCTATTTCTAATAATTTACTCACCTTGTATTGTACCAAAACAAAACAGTCGAAACAGTTTTTAACATTTATTTAAAAAAAAAAAATACCGTGACAGCCTTAATTGTCTGGAGGGAATAAATAAATAAACAAATTTTGATCATTAAAAATTAAAAACAAATTCATTATTTTCATGAAATTTATATCTTTTAATAACCTGTACATAAGTTTTCAAAACTTCAAATAAAGATGTACACAAGATTTTAAACTTATCAAAATATTGAGATGACGTCAAAATACGCGAAAATGTAGAATACCCCTTTAATGTTGTAAAATCATTATTAAGTGACATAAAAAAAAATCTTCTTTATGAGTGATCACAAAAAAAAAAATGAGTCACTAAGTGAGTCTTTAAAATTACTTTTAACTACACACCCTGTTTATTTTTACATAATTTGAATGACCTCTCCTCAAGCTTACAATCACAGTTTATTTTGGAGATTCCGATGCGATGTTGCCACGTTGTTCCAATTTTCTTGAACTTTTTTAGTAATAGAAAGCTACGAAAAAGAAATCCCATTAAGGTTATTTTTAACATCTGTGTTACAATATTTTGTGGATAGATGAAATTAAACTTTCATGTACAGAGTGTTTATAAAAAAAATAATTATTACAGTTTTCAAATGTCGATATTTTAGTTTTCTCAAATAGAACCCTCTGCATTTCATTCTATTTTTTTTTCCATTTCTTTTTTGTTAAGTATTTTCTATATTTAAAGTTGCTAGTTACCCACAGCAACATATTAACAGAATAACAACAGCAAAGTAGAGTAAAATACAATAATAAAACACAGGGAGTCCTGTTTGAAAAAACTGAAATATCGATATTTGAAAATTGTAAAGTTTAAATTTTTGTCTAGACACTCAGTATATTAAAACTTGATTCAATTGACACCACAACAAAGCGCCTATTAATATTTAATAAATCTTTTAAAACAGGAGTTTTACCTACAAAATGGAAATAATCTAATATCTATCCTCTCCGATTTTCTTCTTTTCCAATTTTTCTAAAATTTCCGAAGTAATTCTACATTCTTATATCTATCCTTTTTACAATTATAGAAAAAACAATTGGGGCCCTCGAGAAGTTTCACATTCTTGAAAAAAGACATTTGGGGTCTCGAGAAGGTTTTCCATTTTCAAAAAAAAACATTTGGCGCACCCAAGAAGGTTTTACTTTTTTTAAATAGACAGTTGGGACCCTGAGAAGGTTTCACATTAAAAAAGACATTTGGAGCATCCGAGAGGTTTTACATTTTTAAAAAAGACAACTGGGACCTCCGAGAATGTTTCACATTCTAAAAAAAAAATTGGCTCCTCGGAGAAGGTTTTATATTTTTAAAAAAGACAATTGGGACCCCCGAGAAGGTTTTACATTCTTAAAATATACGTTTGGCGCCCCCGAAAAGGTTTCACATTCTTAAAAAAAAGATATTTGGTGCCCGCGAGAAGGTTTTACATTTTTGAAAAGACAATTGGGACCCCCGAGAAGGTTTACATTTTTAAAAAGGACAATTGGAATCCCCGAGAAGGTTTTTCATTGAAAAAAGTTGGTCGTGTTTCGGCAGAAATTCCCTCGCACCTCAAGTACAGTGAAACATATCCAGCATTTTTGAGTTGAGTTTTTACTTTACAGAATCTTGTGATGACGTCATCAACATTTTTGCAAGGACACCTTGGATTGGTGCACTGTAATACTAAAAATATGAGTCGGTATTCCCAAAATTTTCTGAGAAAATGGGGTGGACCGTTCCTGATTTAATCAATAAAATAAATTGACACATTCATTAATTTTTTTGAGCCACCTATTAAGCAAATCTAAAAATATGAATGCAATGACAAATCACTTGTGAAAAGTCATCATGTTTTGTCCATTTCGGATTCAGGTGGATTTAGGAATTTAACTCCTTACTATGGAAATTTGAAATTTAACACCTTTAAATTTCACAAGTTTTTACAAGGTTAATAGGGGCAAAATCAGTCTTATCTTACCAAGTACTAGCCCCACCCACCCACCCCCTCTTTTCTTAGAAAATATGTCATTTGCCAAAATCAGTCTTATCTTACCAAGTACTAGCCCCACCCACCAGCCCCCTATTTTCTCGGATGATATGGCATTTGCCAAAACAAGACTTATGTTAGCCAGTACTAGCCCCGTCCACACGCCCTTTATTTCCTCAGAGGGTAGTACTTGCTAAGGTAAGTCTTATTTTGGCAAATGAGACATCGTCTGAGAAAATAGGGGCGGGGGGGCGGCGTTAGTATTTGCTCTGATAAGACTGATTTTGGCAAATGCCATACTCTCTGAGAAAATAGAGGGCAGGTGGGCGGGGTTAGTATTTAATTATAAATTTTGGGGATGACGTCACCAAATTGTTGGTGTGGATAATTAGCCAAATTTTGGTTAGTATTTAACTATCTACATGATATTTCTAACATACTTATGTGCAAAATTTGACAACAATCGGTCCAGCAGTTTCGGAGATTACGTGTCTAATAAAAATGGATACAGACAGACAGACAGACAGACGGAAACGGGAGACCACTTTTTTCGTAATCTAGAGGTCATGACACGTCGAGAAAATATGAAAGTGGCAATTCGCGTAACTAAGGTTACGCTAGGGAAATAAAAATACATTTGGCCCCCTCGAGAAGGTTTTACATTAAAAAAAAAGAGATTTGGCGCCCCCGAGAAAGTTTTACATTTTTAAAAAAGGCAGTTGAGACTACCGCGAAGGTTTCACATTCTTAAAAAAAGACATTAGGCACCCCTGAGAAGGTTTTACATTTTTGAAAAAGACAATTGGGGCCCCCAAGAATGTTTCACTTTCTTAAAATATACGTTTGGGGCCCCCGAAAAGGTTTCATATTACGAAAAAGATATTTGGCGTCCCCGAGAAGGTTTACATTTTTAAAAAAGACAGTTGGGACCCCCGAGAAGGTTTCGCCTTTTTTAAAGAAGAAGAGTTGAGACCCCCGAGAAGGTTTCACATTCTTAAAAAAAAAGACATTTACGGTCCCCGAGAAGGTTTTAGATTTTGGTAAAAAGACAGTTGGGACCCTCGAGAAGGTTTCACATTCTTAAAAAAAGACATTTGGTGCCCCCGAGAAGGTTTTATATTTTTAAAAAAGACAATTGGAATCCCCGAGAAGGTTTCACATTGATTAGATAGACACCACATAGAATTAGTCGAAAGTTGTTTCGGCAGAACTTCCCTCGCACCTAAAGTACAGTGAAACATATATAGCATTATTGAGTTGAGTTTTTACTTTACAGAATTTTGTGATGACGTCATCAACATTTTTGCAAGGACACCTTGGATTGGTGCCCTGTAATACTAAAAATAACAGTAGGTATTCCCAAAATTTTCAGGGAAAATGAGGTGGACCGTTCCTGGTGTAATCAATAAAATAAATTGACACATTCATTAATTTTTTTGAGCCACCTGTATAAGCAAATCTAAAAATATGGATGCAATGATAAATCACAAGCGAAAAATCATCATGTTATGTACATTTCGGATTCGCGTAGTTTTAGGAATTTAACTCGTTACTATGAAAATTTGAAATTTAACACCTTTAAATTTCACAAGTTTTTACAAGATTAATAAGGACAAAATCAGTTTTATCTTAACAAGTAGTAGGAACGCCCACCCACCCCTATTTTCTCAGAGGATATGTCATTTGCCAAAATAAGTCTTATATTAGCAAGTACTAGCCCTGCCCACTCACCCTTTACTTTCTTAGAGGGTATGTCATTTGCCAAAATCAGTCTCATTTTACCAAGTACTAGCCCCACCCACCCACCCTCTCTTTTCTTACAAAATATGTCATTTGCCAAAATCAGTCTTATCTTACCAAGTACTAGCCCCACCCACCCGCCCCCTATTTTCTCGGAGGATATGTCATTTGTCAAAACAAGACTTATGTTAGCAAGTATTTATTTCCACAGAGGGTAGTACTTGCTAGTACTTGCTAAGGTAAGCCTTATTTTGGCAAATGACATATCCTCTGAGAAAATAGGGGCGGGTGGGCGGGACTAGTATTTGCTCTGATAGACTAATTTTGGCAAATGCCATACCCTCTGAGAAAATAAAGGGCGGGTGGGTGGGGCTAGTACTTGCCTAGACTGATCTTGGCAAATGCCATGCCCTTTGAGAAAATAGAGAGGGGGTAAAGAAAGTTATATTGCAATTATTCTATTCAGTTTTAAATTTTTTCTAAAAATTCTGGATGTCTAGGGTGAAAATTCGACACGGATTCGCTACACACCACAAGAACATGAGTATCTTATTTTATGAAATTAAAAAAAACTTAAACGTATTTATAAATTTTGGAGATGACGTAATCAAATTGTTGGTGGGGATAATTAGCCAAATTTTGGTTAGTATTTAACCATCTACATACATGAAATTTCTAACATATGTGCAACAATCCGTCCAGCAGTTTCG